TCTCATTGTTGGGGGCAAATTATGCTCAGAGACTGAGATTGTCTTTGCCAGTAATTTATTTAACACCGGTTAACTGCAGGAATTATCATTTATAATAGTATTTCACAAGTCAATAGCATACAGGGTAATAATGTCTTTTAATAAGCTAATAAATAACATCAAACTGTAACAGGGCCACAAGGCTAAAACTTATGGTTGATTTCTAAGCGAAATGTTTCCTGTCTTCTCCCTCTGTTCCTGGAAACTAAAACTTACATTCTTGTTACTGTGCATTCGTTGTTCCTGATTAACGTGGGCGGGCCTTCTTGCTGTTTTTGCTTGCTCCTCTTAACCCTAGCCCCAAGACTTTCCTTTAAATACACCTGCTTTCTCCCCAGAAGGCAGGATGGTAGTTTTCAGGACATTAGTCTGCTACCCTTCTCATCTGCTGGCAATCAATAAATTTGTCTTTCCTTTATCCTCAAAACCTTGTCCTTGTTATTCTCATTTGGCATCAGGACTAGGACCAAATTTTTGGTAACAAAATTGGCTGAGCCAGCCAGGAGGCACGTCGGCGCCCCTGTGGTGTGCATCCCGCTCTCGACCTCCCACCTAACGCTGTCGGAGCAGGGAGGAGTGCCCCGGGTTGGGCTTGGAGCCCTTGCCTGTGGGAGTGCTGCCTCCTGGGGAGAGAGTGAGGGGCTGTCCCAGCGGCTGGAGCCCCATCTTACTCCCGTCTCTCTCCTTGAAAAGGACGTGGTCTCCTGTAGCTTGAACCTTCTTTGAGGAAGAGTTGCCACACCTTGTCCACTTGGGGAAGTGCCCCCCCCCCCACTCGCCCCTTGATTCCACACTTTTGGGGAAGGTTGTGAACCTTCCAGCCTGTTAGGAGGCATTTGTGGCGCCGTTGGTGTGGAAGTCATGGTTGAGTGGGACCAGGGAACCCAGCGAAATCGTTCTCTTTTGTTCTCATTTGAGTTTTGAAAGGTTCCTGTTTGTTTAGTTGGCCTTCGTTTTGATACATTTTGGGTTGGTTCCTTTGTTGTTCTTTAGTCATTTGTCTGCTTTTAAACATGGGAGGTGCCTTTAATGCCATCTGGAAGTCCCTTGGGAAGAAGTCTGGCGGAATGGCCAACTTATAGCTATAAGCCTTTGTCTAAAAGGAAAATGGGAAATGAGAGCTCTATTCCATCTTGTAGTTGTTCCCTAGGGTGTATTTTACACAACCGGGGGATTTTTAGTATGCTCCTAGAAAGAGAAAGTTAAATGATGAGAATTGATTGAAGGTCTAGATCATTTTTTAATAAGATAAAACACTGGACACAGACTGCTAGACAAGTCTGAGTTTGCCTACTTTTGTCTTCTTATGAGAGAAAAACTAAAGATGTTTGGGTTTATTGGATACACATCTTTTACCACATCGAAGAAAAATTATGCTGTGAAAAAAATGTATATTTTTAGAGGTTATGGAATATGTTCTTAAGTTTGCCAGTCAGGAAATACTGGTATGACAAACAGTTCATAATTGCTTGCTTCTTGGTTTTCATTTTAAGGGTTACAAATAGTAATATATGTGCAATTAAAAACTACTAGAAATAATAAGGGAAACGTTTCAGTATGTAAATAAAGTAGGCTACATGTTGTCGGTAAGAGAAGGTGAGAAGAATGGAGATATTTTTGTTAAGGGAAAAGAGTAATTTTGTCCTGAAACTAGTTATTTCTAAATGAGGGGGAAAGAGAGGAGGACAAACTTATACAGATATAGGAAGTGGGATATAGGAAGTAGGAACGGTTGTGGGAAAGGAACCTTGAGAAGAGAGTTTTATGCATGTTTAAAACTGGCTAAGATTAGATTGCATTTAATTAAGTAGATGAATTTGTTATTAAAAGTGAGCTGGTACAAGGCTGGATTTTGGTTTACTCTCTCTCTGTCAAGAGAACAGTTTTTCCTGGAATATTGAGCTGCTTTTGATAACAAACTAAGTTTCTTCACTTTTTTTTTTTTTTTTTTTTTGTGGCATGCGGGCCTCTCACTGTTGTGGCTTCTCCCGTTGCGGAGCACAGGCTCCGGACGCGCAGGCTCAGCGGCCATGGCTCACGGGCCCAGCCGCTCTGCGGCATGTGGGATCTTCCCGGACCAGGGCAAAAACCCGTGTCCCCTGCATCGGCAGGCGGACTCTCAACCACTGCGCCACCAGGGAAGCCCAGTTTCTTCACTTTTTAAGTGATCTTTAGTGATCTATTGTAACGTTCTGTATTTGACTCAAATCTTTTATTGTTACTTTTGTTAAAATAATAAGTATTGTTTCATAGTGACTTATGATCCTATTTGACCAGGTGTTTTAAAACTTTTTGGTATTTTTGACAAACTTCCCAAGGATCAAATTCTAAATGAAGTTCTTTTAGCCTCTAACTAACTTTGGGATGTTTCAGTGGGCCCCTGAGGTATCTCAGAGAGAAATTTTAAATTAATTTGAATTATTTCGTATGTTAAATTACATTGGAAACATTGTCAGGTGAGTGGTAATAAACCTTTTTACGTTATATTGTATGGATAAATCTTATTAAAATAAATGTTCTAGAAATTAGATGAAGTTCCTAAAATTTGGATGTGTCCTGGTATTGTTGTCATAGTTCTAGTTATTATCTTAAAATGTCTTATGTCATAGCACTCAGTTAAGCTTCTTTGTCAACTGCATTGTAATCAGATCTTTAACTGTCACCTTTATGTCTTTTGTCATTCATAGACAGTTATTATTTCACTGTGATGCTTTGCAAAACTGACTCATCTTTTTTTTTTTTTTTCTTTTTTGCGGTACGCGGGCCTCTCACTGTTGCAGCCTCTCCCGTTGCGGAGTGCAGGCTCAGTGGCCATGGCTCACGGGCCCAGCCACTCCGCGGCATGTGGGATCTTCCCAGACCGGGGCACGAACCCGTGTTCCCTGCATCGGCAGGCGGACTCTCAACCACTGCGCCACTAGGGAAGCCCTGCTTCATCTTTAAGACGAATCATAGAAAGGACTTTTTGACAAGTACAGCTTTCTGATAACTTTCAGATCATACTGCTGAATTGGGTAGAAATTAAACAATTCTAATGGAAACCCTGATGGTTTCATAAAGTGTTAGCAAAAGGATTAGTTACATAGGCTGAGTGAACTGATGAATATGGTTGTAATTTTTTGGTTTTTATCTGAAATATTACTGGCTTTTAATCTGTGTTTTTCAGATGTAAAGAAACCTTTCCCCTTAAGTTAATTATGATTTATAACAACTTGGCAAATTATATCCTTGTAAGTAGAATTGAAGCATTTATCTTTTCTTTCTGTCTGATCCCTCCAGAGCTTGGAAACTCTTGGGTTCCCAGGAGTCTTGTCAGATGAATGAGGAAGGTCACCTCCTGTCAGGTGCAGGAATCTCAAGATATTCTGGAGACCTGGAGAAGAGAGGAATTTACCCAAATCTATAGATATCACAGGCAGAATCTGAAGGCAAGCGATTAGCATGGCATTGCTAGCCTTGAGGGGCCTTTTAAAAGTTCGATCTGGGATTCCCAATGAAAAGTTCCAGTGCAGCCAGTTTAAGAGAGCCTATATGAGCAACTACATTTATGCAAATAATCAGGCCAAGTTTATGGAAACCAGACTTACTTGGAACAAATTAGTCTTAACACATTATTATTATTTTTTTATAAGATACTTTAAAAAATACATATTTATTTATTTATTTGGCTCTGTGCTGGGTCTTAGTTGCGGCACGCAAGATCTTCATTGCTGCATGCATGTGCGATCTTTAGTTGAGGCACGTGGGATCTTTTAGTTCCAGCATGCGAGATCTTATTAGTTGCAGCATGTGGACTCTTAGTTGCAGCATGCGGGATCTAGTTCCCTGACCAGGGATTGAACCTGGGCCCCCTGCATTGGGAGCGTGGAGTCTTAACCACTGGATCACCAGGGAATTCCCTTTAACACATTATTGACTGGAGATGTATTAATACATCTTTTTTTTTTTTTCTTTTGTGGTACGTGGGCCTCTCACTGTTGTGGCCTCTCCCGTTGCGGAGCACAGGCTCTGGACGCGCAGGCTCAGCGGCCATGGCTTACGGGCCCAGCTGCTCCGCGGCATGTGGGACCATCCTGGACCAGGGCATGAACCCGTGTCCCCTGCATCGGCAGGTGGACTCTCAACCACTGCGCCACCAGGGAAGCCCAATACATCTTTTGTTACCCGAACGTTATTGACCGGAGACTTACCAATATGTTTTTAGGGAGTGATACAGTTAACATCACTGTGTGAAGTTGTTAAAGCTTAAAATTGATCAAGGGTTGGGACTTCCTTGGTTGCGCAGTGGCTAAGAATCTGCCAGCCAATGCAGGGGACACAGGTTTGAGCCGTGGTCCAGGAAGATCCCACATGCTGCGGAACAACTAAGCCTGTGCGCCACAACTACTGAGCCTGCACTCTAGAGCCTGTGAGCCACGATTACTGAGCCCACCGTGCCACAGCTCCTGAGCCTGCGCACCACAAATACTGAAGCCAGTGCGCCTAGAGCCTGTGCTCCACAACAAGAGAAGCTACCGCAGTGAGAAGCCTGTGTACTGCAACAAAGAGTAGCTCCCACTTGCTGCAACTAGAGAAAGCCTGTGCGCAGCAACGAAGACCCAACACAGCCAAATAAATAAATAAATTAATTAATTTAAAAAAATTGATCAAGGGTTTATTATACAACTTATGATTGTTGTTATCGTTCACATTTTGCTCCATTAGGTTTTTGTTCCAACCTGTGTATATTATAAACGCAAGCTTATTACTGTAAAATTTTCAAAAATGATGCATCACGAGATTTTGGGTGAAGAAGAATTTTTTGATGAATTTTATGCAGATATTTTCTCTGATTGTCTGAGCGACATATATACTAGTGTCCCGGAAAGTGATAGTTCTTCAGAATATAGTTCTGATTCAGCCGATGTGAATGTTAGACCAACAAAAAGACAAAAAAACCTTACTGATTGATTCTGGTACAGAAAGTGAAAATGAAACAGTGGTGGAGAATGCTCCTTTGCTTCTACAGAAGAGTGGATTGAAGACAGCATTTGGCAGAAATTAGAAGACTTTACAGGTGTGTCACGTGTAACTATTGAATGTAATAACCCGCAAAGTATTAGTGGAATAACAGCATTAATTTTTGGTAACGACTTTTGTGAGTTGATCACTTCTCAAACAAACTTGTATCATCAGCAGAACGAAAAATCATATAAAAATTATGATAATGCTTTAAAATGGAGTGATGTAATCAGTAGTAACGTGAAGTTTCTTGGATTAATAATTTTGATGGCACAAATAAGAAAGTCACACTGGGTGCCCCTGTGGGCGGGCTGGACTTGGTTGCTCGCACCCCCTTGGCTGCAGCCCGGCACCCGCTCCGCCTTCCACTTCTGATGCGCGGTCGGTTGAGCTGGTGTATGTGCCACAATAACATGTCGGCCCCGCTGCCCGCCATTGTGCCCGCCGTCCGGAAGGCCACTGCTGCGGTGATTTTCCTTCATGGATTGGGAGACACAGGGCATGGGTGGGCAGAAGACTTGGCAGGTATCAGAAGCGCCCACATCAAATACATCTGCCCGCACGCGCTGGTTATGCCTGTGACATTAAATATGGACGTGGCCATGCCTTCTTGGTTTGACATTATTGGTCTTTCACCAGATTCACACGAAGATGAAACTGGAATTAAACAGGCAGCAGAAAGTGTAAAAGCTTTGATAGGGCAAGAGGTGAAGAATGGCATTCCTTCTAACAGAATTATTTTGGGAGGATTTTCTCAGGGAGGAGCTTTATCTCCGTACACGTCACTGACCACACAGCAGAAGCTGGCCGGCGTCACCGCCCTCAGCTGCTGGCTGCCCCTGTGGGCTTCCTTTCCACGGGGTCCTATCAGTGGCGTGAATAGAGACATTTCTATTCTTCACTGCCATGGAGATTTGGATCCTTTAGTTCCCCTAATGTTTGGTTCTCTTACTGCTGAAAGGCTAAAAACATTGGTAAATCCAGCCAATGTAACCCTCAAAACCTATGGAGGCATGATACACAGTTCATGTCAACAGGAAATGATGGATATCAAGCAGTTCATTGATGAACTCCTAACTCCTATTGATTGATGTCACTAAGAGGCTTTGTGGAGAAGTACACACCAGCATCATCATTGTAGAGTATAAACTTTTTCCTTTGTCCGGTCTTGAAACCTCTAATATTTGCAGTGTTAAGATGTTTTGCAAATACACACCAATGACACAGACTAAAATCTCCTCATGGAAAATTTATGATCTTTTAAGTTTCTATGTATGTATTTGTGTAACATGATCCAGAATATATTAGTATTAAAATAGGTGAAGCAGCTAGCTTCTGTCTCCCAAATGTAATTCAGCAAAGTAATAAAATACTGCAACCAGATTTTTTATTATGTCCCTTGAAAATCATTAGTATGCTTAATGAAAACTTGTTCAGGTATAAATGAGCAGTTAAGACATAAACAGTTTATGCATGCTGTGACTTAGACTCTGGACTTATTCCCAGATTACTTAGTCACCATGCAGTATCTGTATATATATTTTTAAAATTAATTTATTTAATTTTGGCTGCATTGGGTCTTCGTTGCTGCATGCGGGCTTTCTCTAGTTGCGGTGAGCGGGGGCTACTCTTCGTTGTGGTGCGTGGGCTTCTCATTGAGGTGGCTTCTCTTGTTGTGGAGCTTGGGCTCTAGGCGTGTGAATTTCAGTAGCTGTGATGTGAGGGCTCAGTAGTTGTGACTCGCGGGCTCTAGAATGCAGGCTTAGTAGTTGTGGTGCATGGGCTTAGTTGCTCCGTGGCATGTGGGATCTTCCCGGACCAGGGCTTGAACCCGTGTCCCCTGCATTGGCAGGCAGATTCTTAACCACTGCGCCACCAGGGAAGTCTGTATATTTTTATATATGTGTTCATACGTACTTAATGATTATAATACATAATAAGAATAAGGTGTTATTACATTATTCCTAATAATAGGGATAATGCTTCTAAGTGTCAATAAAGAGTAATATTGCTGTCTTCAATTAATGGCCCTTTTATTTTGGGGACCAGGTTTTTCTTTCCTGAATATAATTTCTATTTAATATTCTTTTTTCCTCTCTAGAAAAGAAATGTGTTCTTTCTTCTTTTTTTCCTTCATAACGGACCAAATATTGCCTACTTGCCATAGACATCTGCTGTCAATACGTGCTGTAATTTGACATTCTGAATCACAGACATGACGGCATTGAAAACGTACTTATACTTGTAAAAAGAAACCAGACATCCCTTCAAAGTTTCTACACTACTTCTTAAACTGGACCTTTGTCTGCCGTTTAGGCCGGCAGAGTTACTTGAATCTTCAGTCCAGGTAACAAGAATAATTCTGTGGTTGTATTTTTCTGTAATTAACTGAAAGAATAATTAAGTCATATTCTAGTATGTTCTGAAATATTTACTGATCTTACAAATTGTAATTTCTAAGATGATTTGCTCTAAGATGATTCTCCTCGTAGCATAGTTTTAGTTTACTTATTTTGCACATATGTTTGAAACCGACTGCTGTAGGAAATGAACAGTCCATTCAAAAAATTTGCTTTACTTTTTTCTGCCAATGGACTTATTTGAAATTTTCACTGTAGTCAGAGTTTCTGTGCAAACATAAAAGTAGCAATTATTTGATTTTAAATAGATTTTTCAGATTATTGGTTAACATTATTTGAAAGCAAGTTTATGGGTAATAAAAGTTAGTCAGAACTCAATACATATGGTGTAGTTACCACCCAGTTTAATATGTAGCAAAAATGTACACTTGCTATTTCTGAACTGTTAATTTTTCTGCCGTATTCCAACTGACTAGAACACCGTTAGGAATGCATCTTTATAAATGGGTGCTACTTGATGATGGAAATGATTTCGTATGGACGGTATAGGATGTTAATAATGAAGCCATATGTTTATGTCTGAATTTACAGTGTTTTTTTTTGTTTGTTTGTTTTTTTGTTTTTGCGGTACGCGGGCCTCTCACTGTTGTGGCCTCTCCCGTCGCGGAGCACAGGCTCTGGACGCGCAGGCTCAGCGGCCAAGGCTCATGGGCCCAGCCGCTCTGCGGCATGTGGGATCCTCCTGGACCGGGGCAAGAACCCGTGTCCCCTGCATCAGCAGGTGGACTCTCAACCACTGTGCCACCAGGGAAGCCCTGGATTTACAGTTTTAAACAGTCATTTACTAAGTCATTTTGCTTTTATTTTGAAGAATATAAACTGTTGTTTCACTTACACAAATCAGCAAGATCTAATTTATGGCAAGAAATATTCCATTGACATTGTTGTGCTGTAACTTGGGAAAATGTAAATCTTTTTCACGGTTTCTATCAAAGTGAAATAAAATTTAATTCTGAAAAAAAAAAAAGAAAGAAAGTCAGTCACACTGGGAAGAACATTCGTCGAGTGATCTCTTACTTGAACATTGGTCGACTGATCTCTTACTTGAAACACCTATCTTTCCAAAGATTATGACGAGAAGAAGGTTTGAACAAATAATGACATTTCTTCACTTTAACGATAACTCAGAAACTCCACTTCCTGCAGACAGAATTTCAAAGTTAAACCTCTTTTGGATTATTTTCTGCCAAAATTTCAATTGTTCTATGTACCCAAACAAGAGCTATCACTTGATGAGGCAATGATAAGGTGGAGAGGACAACTCAGATTCAAAACCTGTAATCCTGGAAAACTTACAAAATATAGAATTTTGGTCAGGATGTTTAGCGAAAGTGAAATTGGATGTATATGCAGCCTTGAGATTTACATGGGTGAAGGAAAGAAACTGCAAGAAACAATATTGTTGGTCCTACAACCTTATCTTGGTTCATGGCACCATATTTACCAAGACAGTTATTACAACAGTGTGCTCACATCTGAAATAAGAGAGAATCGTGGTCTACTAAACCAATTAAAGGAGAAATCTAAAAATCTACAGAGGGGAGAAATGACATTCTTACGGAAGGGAAAGTGATTCTTCTTATATGGAAAGACAAGAGGCTAGTCCTCGTGGTGACAACTATTCAAGACACCTCCATAGCATCTACAGGAAAGGAATGCAGGAGGACTGGCCATCAGATAACTAAGCCCACTTGTATATAAGAGTATAATAAATATATGAAAGGAGTTGATCAATCCAATCACTATCTGGCAAACTTCAGTATCCTCTGGAAAACTCGCAAATGGTTTAAGAAAGTGGGTTTCTATTTGAGTAATTGCGGTTTATTCAATGCGTTTAAAATTTATTGTAGCTTTATTGCACAGAGTAAAATGACTTACAAGCAGTTTTTGTTAGCAGTAGTTAGAGAATGGGTAACTGACCATTCTGGTGAATATAGTGGTAGTCCTGCACCTGGTCCTTCAAGCCCCCCGCACAGATCCACCTTGTCGACTATCAGGTGAAATAAAAGAACATATTCTAGAGGAAATAACACCCACAGGACTAAAAAAAATGCTGCCGGGAATTGTAGAGCCTGCTCTTCCAGGGGAAAGCACAATGAAACACGGTATATTTGTAATAGATGTTCTGTTCCCTTGCAGAGAGGTGCCTGCTATACTGCCTATCACACTCTAATGAAATATTAGAATGCTTTAGTAAGACGTATACAAAGTTTCAAATAAATACATTAAGTGCAAAAAAAGTTGCTGATATTTACTCAGACGCCGGTGTTTCAATAGTCACTTATGTAACAAATTGCCAGGCATGGGCGTTAGTTTCGGCAAAAATCCCCTGGTCAGTAATGTGTTAATTTGGCTAGATTTAGTAGAAATGAGGATAAGTTAGAGAGAAAAATTATGTTTCAATAATATACCTTTGGATATTGAAGTTTTGTATTTACTGAGGTTTTGTATTTATTCTCTACGTCCAAGATGGCTCCTTGTTACTATGTTACATTATTGTAAAGTTTAATTGAATTATTAAAATAATATTCTAAGCTTGTTTCTAAAGCCCGTCACAGTAATCTGTCTTTGGATGAAGATCAGATGCCCTGTGACTTGCAACTAGGAGATTATGCACCCTGGAAAAGACATCATTTAAAGGACTGTCTCCAAATTAGACAAAAGGACCCTTATCAGGTACTCTTGAACTGGCGTATGTGCAGCAAAATTGAAAGAAATTGACTCTTTTATTTATTTATTTATTTGGCTGCACTGGGTCTTGGTTGTGGCATGTGGGATCTTTGTTGTAGCATGCAGGATCTTTAGTTGTGGCATTCGGGATCTTTAGTGGCGGCATGCGGGATCTTTTAGTTGCGGCACGTGGGATCTTTTAGTTGCGGCATGCAGGATCTTTAGTTGCGGCATGTGAACTCTTAGTTGCAGCATGTGGAACCTAATTCCCTGACCAGGGATCAAACCCGGGCCCCCTGCATTGGTAGCATGGAGTCTTAGCCACTGGACCACCAGGGAAGTCCCTGAAGGAAATTGACTCTTCATGTTTTCCGCTTAAGAAGGGCCTCTGCATTGGACTGTCTGTAGAAAAGACTGCTGACCACAAATGACACCCATACCAGGATGAGAAGAAGATAACAGTAGTGGTAGGCAGCTGACCCAAAAATCTGGACCAGGCCTGTAAGAACCATCCAACTAATTTATTTATTATTATTTTTAAAGTATTTATTTATTTATTTATTTATTTATTTTTGGCTGTGTTGGGTCTTAGTGTGGCATGCAGGATCTTTTTGTTGTGGTGCGTGGGCTCTTCGTTGCGGCACGTGGGCTTCTCTCGGGTTGTGGCGTGCAGGTTTCTCTCTAGTGGCGTGCGCGTTCAGTAGTTGCAGCGCGTGGGCTTAGTTGCCCCACAGCAGGTGGGATATTAGTTCCCCAACCAGGGATCGAACCCTCATCCCCTGCATTGGAAGGCGGATTCTTAACCACTGGACCACCATGGAAGTCCCCATCCAACTAATTTAATTGAACTGTTTACCAAATGTTTGTCTTCCTATCAAAATGCAAAGTTATTGTTTTACTTCTAACCATACTTTTAACTCCAATGTTCAGGATGGAAAGAAAATTCTTTAGTGAAGTTATCGTCAAGAGCATAACTATTCATGACCTGTGTCACTGCTTGCTTTGAGTATACTGCTAAAAGCACATATACAATGTTCAAATGACAATTTGGTATAACTGATAAAGTGTAGAGCCTATAAAATGTTTCTTCGTTAGCATACATCTGAGCTTGTTCACTATGTTTGATTAGTTTCCTCCAATGTGGATAATTAGGCACACACACACACACACACACACACACACACACACACACACAAAGAGTACGCCTAGCACTGAGGGGCATGGTGGACCTAGGGCTGGCAGCAACCACCCTGGCATCAAGTGACAAATATTTTGATCATCAGTGCTTTCTATCGAAAAATTTGCAAACAAAAAGGGGAAATTATAGAATAAATGTTCACATATTGAGGTATGGCGAAGTTATTCTGGCTTTTACATGATTTAACTTAGACTCGAACAGACTGTTTCTGACCTGTCAGAGATATGCATTGTACGTCTGCTTTAACCAGTAAGAAAAAGAATACATTTAAAAATCAGAGTAGAGTAACTGGTTCAGGCATCCAAAATAGAGCTGGATGGCCATTCTGAACGTGGTTTCAGACACATTTCTGTACTACTGAGAACCTGATTGCCAACTGCAACCTTATGGCCTCAAGGTGCTATTACAAGAAGAGGTGATGTCAAGCCAGAAAGAAAAAAGAAAAAGCCTCTCTGCATATCTTGCAGGATTCTAGAGCATCTTTTGGGACAAGAGAATTCTTTAAAGTCAAAGTCCAGAACTTTCTCTCCTCTAATCCTCCTCAATTTTAACATTGCCCCTGTTCAGCAGGAAGTAGCCAGATGACTTTGTTGCCCTCACTCCCGTAGATATGGAAGGTTATAACTGACAGGGCCACAAGGCTAAAACTGTTTGATGCATGATTTCATTTTTTTAAAAATTTATTTTTATTTTATTTTTGGTTGCATTGGGTCTTTGTTGCTGCACGCGGGCTTTCTCTAGTTGCGACAAGCAGGGCGTGTCTAGGCGTGCGGGCTTCAGTAGTTGTGGCACACGGGCTCAATAGTTGTGGCTCATAGGCTCTAGAGCACAGGCTTAGTAGTTGTGGCGCATGGGCCTAGTTGCTCTGTGGCATGTGGGATCCTCCCGGACCCGGGCTCGAGCCTGTGTCCCCTGCATTGGCAGGCAGATTCCCAGGCACTGCACCACCAGAGAAGTCCCTGATGCATGATTTCTAAGTGAAACTGTTTTTCCTGTCTTCTCCCTCCGTTGCTGGGGACTAAAACTTACATTCTTTGTTACTGATTAATGTGGGCAGGCATTCTTGTTGTTTTTGTTTGTTCCTCTTAACCCCAGCCCCAAGATTTTCCTTTAAATATGCCTGCTTTCTCCCCAGAAGGCAGGACAGCAGTTTTCAAGATGTTAGTCTGCTACCCTCCTCATTTGCTGGTATATCAATAAATTTCTCTTTTCTTTATCCTCAAAACCTTGCCCTTGTTATTTTTATTCAACACTGGGGACAAGGACTGAATTTTCGATAACAAAATCAATGATATATTAATTTATACTGTTGTTCCAGGCAAAGGGGGCAATGAAAGCAATAAAGTCCAAATTTAGTTCACGTATACCCTTCTATGAGTTGGTTCCCGGTAGATTCATTCCTTCCAACTAAAAGTCGGGTATCAGCTGCTGGCTTAGGTCCCAGTACCAGTGTTGGCAAAGGTTGCTCCAGAGGTTATTACTCCAGGGACCCTCACATGGCTTGCGCCACTGCCTGTGAGGACTAGTATTGCCAGGGCAGGAACGGATATCTCTTCTCTTCCTGAGACTGCAGCACAGTTTAGCACCACTGCTGACCAAGAGTTAGCCTGGCTAGGGTTAGGAGCAAGTGTCTCAAGAGCTTCGCGGGACTATTTGGATCAGCAAAGAGTAGCCTTGCCCAGATGGAACACCCTAGACTTGCTGATCAAACCTCTTGGTTTTTATCATTTAAAAGTCCATCATGTGATGGATACCACTGCCATTACCTTGGTATCAATGATGTAATGCTCCTGTCCACTCCAGGTGCAAAAGCTCTGTCAGAATGTCCTAATATCCAACTTCAAAACAATTTCATCAAAAAGAGGTTATTCACAGCAAGTTCAAACCACAGCCAACTTGTTTAAAACAAGCTTTCCAAACATGGATTTGAAATCATAACAAGTTGATACATGACACTGGTCCACTCTCAGTGATAGCAATGAGAGGCAGTGGATAAAGGCGAGGGCTGTGCAGTCCATTTCCAGCACTGCAATCTTGAGTGATTTACACAACCAAGGTCTCAGTCTTCTCATCTATAAGCATGGCACTAAGGAGAACATCTGTCTCTGGAGGCAGATTTAGGTGAAGTTAATGAAGCTTAAGCTCACCTGCAGGGGCTGCTCAATTTGTTATATTTATTTTCTTATTCTGAATAAGCATCCATCTTCATGTCTAACTTTGTGTTCATAATTGTGTTTTTTTCTAAGGAAGCCTTCAATACTATATAAATTCCAATCTCCATAGAACCTGAATACACTTCTATCAATATCCCCACAGTTATTTTGGTAATTAAAGTAATTTGTGTGAAGCTGTAAGCACAGAGTGTGGGGCACAGTAAATGCTCAGTAAACATTAACTATAATTAAAACAATAAAGTAGATCTCGAGGCAAAAGGCAGTAAACCACAAAGAGGATGGAAGATTATATAGTAGAATTCACACCATTGAAAACTTGGAAATACTGTAATTGCAATTGGAGATTTTAACACACCACTTTTAGCCTTTGTGAGATTTGCTAGAAAACAGCCACAGAAAACAAAGATACAGAGATCAGAATGCTGTGATATGGTAGGGTCAATTAAATAGGGATTACCTAGTCTTTTTATATTATGTTCCATGTCAAAAAGACATTTTTGGTTTCCAAAAAGATTTTGTGCCAGGAGGTACCGTGTCATTAATATTTGAAAATAATAAAAAAGTTAACAACCAAACAATCTAACCCTTAGAAATAAAAACAATAAATTTTCTAAATAACTATTGGGTAAAAGGGGAAATAAAAGCTGCCATTATAAACTATTTGGTGCAGGAGGCTGGAAGACAATAAAAGCTGTACATATCTCAAAATTCAGCCTGAGTGCTTAGTCACTGGTGTCATATGGACTCCAGTATTAGAATTCTAGCACCAATGATTAACTGTGTGACCTTGGGACACAGACTAGAACACAGTCATTCTTGTGGGTGAAGAGTTGGAAGGGGTATTGCAGGTTTTTCAACATTTTCACCCTGTTACAGGTTGAATTGTATCTCCCCTAAATTCATATGTTGAAGTCCCAACCCCCAGTATCTCAGAACGTGACTGTATTTGGAGATAGGGCCTTTAAAGAGGTAATTAAGGTGAAATGAGTGCTCGCGTCAGCAGCACATATACTAAAATTGGAATGATACAGAGAAGATTAGCACGGCCCCTGCGCGAGGATGACATGCAAATTCATGAAGCGTTCCATATTTTTTTATAATCCAATAAAGATGTTAAAAGAAAAAGGTGAAATGAGGTCATAAGGTGGGCCCTACTCCAATTTGACTTGTGTCTTTATAAGAAGAGGAGATTAGGACACACACACACACAGGGAAGACCATCTGAAGACACAGGGAAGACAGCCATCTACAAACCAAGGAGAGTGGCCTCAAAAGAAACCGGCCCTGTTGACACCTTGATCTTGGATTTCTAACCTCCAGAATTGTGAGAAAATTGATTTCTGTTGTTAAGGCGCTGTGTTTTGTTAGGGCAACCCTAGCAAACTAACACACTCCCCTAACAGAGTGAGCTTCCTTGGAAACCCATCCCAGGCACAGCCCATAATGGCTTAGAGCACCCATGAAAACTCTCTGAAGCTTTATTTTATAAACATAAATAGCTACAAATTCATATCAGTTTAATACAAAATATTTAATGTTAATTTCCAAAAAGCAAAATAGTCAAACCCTACTTCCAGCCACCTCCAGGCTGAGGGATGGGGGAGAGGCAGGGTGTACAGGCCCCAGCTGGGCTG